TCCATTAAGTCTTTATACAATGTAAAGAAAGAATAATCAAATTATTTGGGTTGAGTTACACTACAGCAACATTGATTTATAACATGACGAGGCTAAGAACAACGTCGACTCGGCAATAAAACGTATTAACCAGTTATTTTTTTTCCAATTTCCCAACATAAAATATTGAAGTGTAAAGCAATGAGACGTATTTTTCGATTTGAGAATCAAGATGAAAAAGTACTACTACTAGCATACAGTGAGCAATCGAATTCACTAAGAACACTCAGTCTCTATAATTAAGACAGCGGTGCGTCGGTATCATAGATTATAATTAAGCTTTTGGCTTTAACACCAATTGGTAACTATAGGATTGTCGTAATATTAATGATACATGCCCATAAAAATATTAAGAGGTACACTTTATGGGCTACAATTGCCTATTATAGTTATCCTTCGACTCCTTAGAAGATGAAATAATATCAGCTAATTATAATATCAAAGAAATTGTTCAAGGATTCACAAAAAGGCTCTTTTATTTACACATGTGTAAATCAGACGATTAATAGAAAGGACGCAGGAAATATCCCTTCTATTCCTTTTAATTTATACTATTATATACTATACTATAGAACTAGTATATTTTTAAAATTTACAACACATGTATATAAAAATTTAAATGTAATTAAATGTGTGTGAATAAATAGTTTTGTGACAACTTATTTTTTTAGAAAATCTATACATTTTTCCAATTTAATTCACTAACGAAATGTTTTCGAAGAACTTTCTGAAAAAAACTTGTCGTCTATATTTAATTGACGAATCGGGATAATAACTAAAAGTCAATAGTTAATTAAATGTACGTTTATACTTAATGGTTTTTTATTTAAACACGTTTTTCAACCTTTTTCACTTTTATTTATCGAAAATAATTAAAAGTGTACACAAATTTACATTTTTTTAAATATTTCGCATTTAAGTCATTGATAAGTTCACTCGACTTCACAATTCTTGAGAAAGAAAGGATAACATTCTTAAAAAACATTAAGATGTGTGTTGGTTCCTTTAGTTTTGAAATGTTAATTTAAAATAAAATTTAAATATTTACTTGTATGATAAAAGATTGATAATATGACTAAACATGAAATTTTGTTGTTAAATGAATATTTATAAATTAACATTCACAGATCTTATATCTCCGGAGAGTATCACAAACTTTGTGAGTCATGCAGTAATTAATTGATCATTCCGTTAATTATATGAAAATTTTTACAAAATATGAGCTAAAAAAATCTCATATTTGTAATTGGGCTTACAAAAATTATTATAACTCAGACTCTTTAAAAGAAATATATTAACAGTAAATTCTTAAGCATTAGCAAACATTATGTTATTTTTTAATATACTACCTCTGGAACAATTTTAACTAGTAATATTCCGTGCGTGCAGAACTTTTTTAGTCATTATGAACCTATTTTGTCGTTGCACCCCACGCTTTGTTCTTAGTACATGTTGTTTATAATCGTTTACACGCAATTTAAAGACGCTGAAATGTTGCAAAAACTGTTAGAAATCCGATCAACTTTCCCCCGAAGCACGACAAGTGTATGTATCTGGTCCTCAGAAATTCTTCCTAATATTATACGCCACGTCGGCAATAAATAAAATTAAAATGTCACAACGTCCACACATTCAACGGTCGTGTACCAACCTCTCATTATGCGAACAAATGCGTGACCCAAGTATCGTTACATTCGACAAAATGGCGAATTTAGCCTACTTATGGCTAGCTTTATTTACGCACATTACAGAATAAAAAAGTACAAATAGTAAATATGAAACGAGCAGAAAAATCACCCACATAAATGGAAAACTTAGTTAACTTGTATTCGATGATTACTCACAAATGATTGGAAAAACTATTTGTTTGAGAAAAGCGATTTTGAGTTCTATAACGTAAGTCGCCGTATCGATTAATTCAATAAATGACTGTTATAAATTTATTATTTAAATACATATTTAAAACTTGATGAATTCATAACATGGTAAAGAGGATACAATAACGATAAAAATAATAGTGATTATGATTAAGATACCTGATTATAACACGTATTCAGTCTAAAGAAAGAAATAGTAAGAAATAACATTATCAGTAAAATAAATGACAGAATCGCAGTTCTAAAATAATTGACTTATCATTGGAAAGCCACGAGAATGATTCAAGTTTAAATTTTCACTTCATTAATACATAAAATGACATAATAAAACTCCTACTTTATTTTAATTCAAATAACTATCAGATATATTTTTACAATCGAAATATATTATAAACACACGTGTATAACTGGAGGACACAAACTAAGTTAACAAGTTTTTGGCATTTGGGTTTCATTATTCAGTGACACGATAGAATTTAACTTAGTATTGGTACTAACAAGGAACCCCAAAGCTATTTCGTCTGTTCGTTTTCACTTTTCATTCTGAGAAGATTATTATTTATCGCCGACAAAACAAATAAAACTATTATTAATATATACAATAATGTTTCATGTACAATACCTTCGCATAGTTATTTAAAAAAATATTTGGAACAATCAATCATATCCACGACGCATAAATCTATTCGGATTCCCTATGGCGACTTCGTTGAAAAACTCAGATGAACTATCTGGTCATTTTCAGTCGTACTTTATTGTAGCTCCATCAACTGCACAAATAGTTACAACTCGAGCTATTTGTATTAATCATCTTATTCGGTATTATATAATAAACTAATTTATTCAAATGTTTTTTTTTTTTTACCTTGAACATGTTTAAGATTTATACCGAATCAAGTTAACAATTACTTAAATGTTAGAAAACAATAGCAATAAATAAGAAATTAAATTTATTGGATAGGCAAGCAGTATTTTCAATTGCGTTTTATTAGTTAATTGAATTTCATTCTGTTATTTTTTTAATTCAATAAATATAAATTAGTTAAGTATTTGTCAATGTAATTGTTCGATATAGCATAGTTGCTCTCGTCACTAAATCTAAAATGAAACGTTTTTACTGTAAGACTAAATGACTGTTTCTTTTTTAACAAACATTTGTAATTTACAACGGTAGAGTAGTAGTATTTTGTGAACGAACAGGTCGGTCTGAATGGGATATATGAGACAATATAATGGAGTATTACCGTATGCTTGAAGTGACACAACAGTCGTTTTGTCCCCTAAAACAAGTTTAGGTTTGATCTGAGCCGACATTTAAATTAGTTAAGACTTTAGAGAAGGTGCGAGTCAGGGTAAAAGAGTCTTAGGTCACGACCGGTGTTGCCTGAAACGAATAATTTTTAATAACTTTGACTGTTTTGGACGTAAATATAGAGACCGAGAAGAAGTCTTTCTTTTGTGCGCTTCGTAGTCTTTTCAGCTATTATAATAATAATTATTGTTCTCGACTCAGTGAAAAAAGGCAGCCATCGATCACGCACAAACAATAAGGTTCAGTTTGATATTATTAACGTTAAATTAAAAATTAATACTGTAATAACACATAATAAAAATGAATCATACACTATACCGGATTACAATCGAACTAGTTCTATTGTTGTACATAAAAACAAATAGAGTATTTGATTATAGAAACTCAGGGCGTATTAACATAGCATTATCATGGAACATTATATTATGTGGTATTCGGTAACAGAGCAAAATTGCAAATGTTGGCAGAGTAGCCGCCGAAAGTAGAAGCCGACTCATTTTATGGAACCACGCAGCAATAGAAGTCATGCATACAAGAGCCACCAGTTTTTTTTCGTGAGAGTTTTAATTGAGAACACTGCCGGAGAATTAGGTTTGTAAAACCGAACCCCTAATGGAATTGGCACTATGTCAAAACGGTTACATTTACTTTAAGATCGTAAAAAACTAAACTGATTTATAATTGCCTTAAGGTTTTATTTGTTTACAGCCCACACTGCATGGTGAACTCCGGAAACTCAAAACATTTTTTCCGTCGTGTTTAAATCAGTGCATAACACATACGTCGTTTAAACACGTGCACCATGATAAATATGAGACAGCAATAGATCAATATTATTTCGATCGGTTCGTATTATTTTGGCCATTTACCAAGCACGAACAAATCTACACACTGCATATAATGCTTCCATTTTCAAACACTTTCGATATTTTCTTTTAAATTAAAATTCAAATAAGAACTTCTTCTTAAATTTCTTTTAAATAATATTGATTTAAAAAAGATTAAAGTCATTTATATATTCGAATCGACAATTCAATTTATATCAATTTATTTCATCATCGTTAAATGATTACGATTACGATGTAATTTGTAACGTCATCAAGATGCCCACAGTTTCCGCAATAACTTTTTTTCAACCTACTCTTGTAAACTAATAGCGACATACACTTTGTCTGAGACCATTACTTTCATTCACTATTCTTCGATCTCTAGCAATGTCAAACAATTGCTCAATAGAAAAAAACTCTACTTTATGCATTTTGATAATATTTACTAACGGGAAAATTTTGACGTGTTTAATACACATTTAAGGGTTGATATTTAATTCGAATGACTCACGTTTTCCACCAGAACATTTTTCATATCCTAACCCTTATACTAGTGCAGAATCTTATACGTTATTGTCTGTATAGTAACCACCAATCACCCCATAGAATTGTTTCGTATATTTGATTTAATGAAAACAAATAGCATGTGCCACCACCGCTTACAATAGAAAATATATTGCGAGCAGAAATACAAAGACTACAACAATATACATAATTTTTAACTATAATCGACATTAACAGTAGCGAGCCCTATAGAGTTAAAACGTTTATACATTTAGATAACAATTTAAAATCTCGTTTTGATATAATCACATCCCTTAAGATTACATAAGAAAACCACATAAGTTGTTTTAATTTAATAATTCGATTTAAATTAACACGTCCAACAAAATTGCACGCTTTGTTTAATGATGCAATTAAATTTTATACATAATGATTACATACCTGGACTTTGCTGAACGTCTTTACAATAGTCCTTAAAATCTTACTGGCAGGGAGACAAAAACATTTATGAAAATCCCCAACATCAGAATGATAGACGGTTTTTAATAACTGTTTTGCTTGCCTCACGAGAACTGCACGTGTTTCGGAATAGTTAATGTAATATGGACCAATCAACTCATCAACAAGTTCTTGAACAGTAAATTTTGTTCGAAGATGCCCCTAAAATTGTAAATTAAAATTTTTGTTCAAAAATTCTACATGGAAAATCTAATTATATTAGTGTTTTATTTCAAAATTTGTAATAAAACTTAAAAATTAATACATCGTTAATTAGGTTACACATTCATCACATTTGATTGTTACATTTTTTAATTTGTGCAGAACAATTGGATTATCACTGATAAATAAGTTTAATAATAAAAACAATTATTTTTTTTTTACTGATATTTTATAATCACTAAAAAAAGGCTATTATAATAGCCTTAAAAACCTTTTAATCATATAAATTTTTTAACACATCGTCTTATATTTTTTAAGCCCTAATGATTTTTGTTAATTAACTATAAAATCACAATTTCGAAACTGTGAATATAAAAACATTAAGTATAATATTTAAGTGACATATTGTACCTCTATATTTTAAACTGCAAGTTTAAGAAACAACATAATGATTACAATGCTTATTTCTTTTGTCAATACAATAACTACTATCTAAATTAAAAACTAACAACCACAATATACTTCCATGAGTGTAAGGTTGGCCGAGTTACACTAATAACAATAGTGAACATCAGCTGAACTAAAAAATAAATACAGGGTGTATTTACATAACCAGTATTTTCCCGATCTCCCCACACTATAAGAAATAGTACACACACAATGTAGACGACTTCGACTCTTTCTTTTCTTTCTACTGTGCATTTGATTTCAATTCCTTGTGTGTGGTCTTAGGGTAATATCCAACTCGTAGGACTGAAACACTACGAAGAATTAAGTATAGGGACTATTGTGTTCGTGTGTGTTTAGTACGACATATGAAGAAAAACGTACATGAAAAATTAAGGGTTAAATATTATTTTTTTTATAACATTTATTATGCTTTACATATTTTGCTTTTAATATTATAATATCACAAATAGAAACCTCTTTAAAGTAATATGATAATTATAAAATACTTAACAATAAAAAAAAAACATTTTTACAAATAACATTTTCTATTGTAAAAGATAAATAGATCTTTTTAATAAAAAATACTAAACTCTATTAAATAACACTTTCCTTAAATATATAGCGATACTAATAGTCTAATAGAATGTCAAAAACTTGATGAATTAAAAGTTTTTATTCCCACAAAGAGTATAATCAACAATTCATACCAAGTAGTAGTAAGATATGTTTGCTTTATACTACTGTATCTGATGAAATATTAAGCTGTTTACTTCCTTTAGTTTACCATTGTTGATCAGTCTTTAATATGGGACTATTTATTTGATAATATTGTACTGAGTATCTTGATCATAGTTTTACAGTTGGTTGACACACNTTGCTTTATACTACTGTATCTGATGAAATATTAAGCTGTTTACTTCCTTTAGTTTACCATTGTTGATCAGTCTTTAATATGGGGACTATTTATTTGATAATATTGTACTGAGTATCTTGATCATAGTTTTACAGTTGGTTGACACACTGGTATCTATTGGCCTATAAAATATGTTAGTCGTGTGTATCATAACCTTTTGGTCGACCCGGATGGATTTGGTTTAAAGAAATCGCTACAGGGTTTTGACCACGAACGCTTGTCACGATCAACTAACGGTGATGTAGGCGATGGTCTCCATCGTCACTTCTTTTGGTCGATGCAAAATGCGTCTTAAGGTATATTTTTAACGCTTTATGTATACAAAATAAGATTACAGATAGATATCATGGCTTGTAATCCCTTCGAGTTATCTTGGAAATGCTTACCGGCTTAAGTAGTATACAACTTTAAAAATTCAATATAATACACTTTACTTAGGCTAACATAGAACCAATTGTTTTTAAATAACCTGCTGTTTAATCTCCATTCACATTTGTCGAGATTTCAAGGTTTTCCACAATTACTCACTGACATGATCTGAAGATGAACTAAGAGGATCAATAAGCAGCGACAGTATATGTTAGAAAACCTTTTGATATTATACCTATATATGTTTTATGCGTTAAAATTTATCGGCCCACACAATGCATAAATACATAAAAACGTCAAAATAATTTAAATTATAACGATAGAAAATACAATTTAACATTAAACAATGACTAAAGGATCGTAATAATAACCTTGACAATTTTCAAAATCAAACTTAAACAAAATATATCAAATTTTCCTTTTAATGAAAAGGAAAATATACACTACTAAATTATTTTTAAAACTGCAATAAAGATTTTACTTAATGAAATATTTCTTGCATCTTTGACTAAAAATATCGAAGCGTATTTCTATTCATATAATTGATTTATCACATGAAAAATAATATAGATGCTATAATGCCTTTAAAGTCTGTGCAAAATACTATAAAAAAATTTGAGATTTATTTAAATTGGTAAATTGGTTTACTTAAGGTAATATATATATATTACTTTGCCAGTAAATAAAGATATATTTTTTATATTTAATAATTTTATAAATAAGGTTAATGACCTTATAGATATTTATTGATTAACTATATGAAATTTTTCTGAATAGGTGTACAAATAAACCAGAATTTTTTGACATATTTATACATTTTTTTTGTTTATATTGTACTTTATAATATATTGTATTTTAAGTTAAAATTTCACCGGGATATAACGAAAATATTATTCATTAGCCACATAAACCATTATTTATGATGTTAACAATTTTTTTTACAAAACACACACTTTTGTAGACGACTTTTGATGAAAGCTGCAATCATTTTTACTATGATGTAGTTTTAAGTTTTGATTCAAAATGTCATAAAAAATTACTAACATATCTCTAAATAATAATACCACTTTAACTACCTACTCTAGAAGCAAAAAAAAATCACTTCACTCATAAATAAAAATTCAATTATTTTTTCGCTGTTTTTGTCTTAGTGATGGAGTAAACCTTGCAAGTGATACTAGAATTAAGTCCTAGCGAGTCAAAGACGTAGAATTTGTGATAGAATCTTGTACAGAGCTATAACATTACATTTAATAATATCCGACTTAACATAAGACAAATAAGTACAAATGCATTGCGTGTTTAGTTATTGAGTTTGAGCGTTTATAATTTTCAAGGCCTAGTTGTTTAATCTTCTTTCAGAAGATAAAATTTCTCGCTCTTTTCTGATGTGATCTGTAAAGAAATATTGATTATCTTCAATATATTATTTTGTGGGTGGTGATTTCACTAAAAATCTCTATTAGAAAACAAATAACATAAATTCTAAACAAATTTTTAATAGAAATTTACAGAAAATGTAAGTTATGAATTTAAAGTCAAATATAGGTAAGCAACTTTATGTTTCAAAAAACATTTAATCAAACATTTGTATACATAAATTAATGTAAATTAAATTATTGTATATATTTAATCAATAAATATAATTTGATAAATTAAACAAAAATTTTAAAATGATCAGTAATATTTAAGTTTTTTATGAATTCAAAATCAAACAATGATTACAAGTATTACAGGTAACAAATGTAATTATTTTTTTAAACGACAAAATTAAATCATGCTTGGAACTTAGAAATAGAAAACTTTAACAAATAATTTCATACTATCTAAAATAACGGTTATTACGGAAGATATATTTCAAGTTTTTAAGTAATTTGATAGGCTATTCATATTAACTATCTTAAGATTCGAGTATAAACAAGGCAATTTAAAATTGCAAAATAATGGTGGCATTTAAATATATAATCTCCATGTCTAATAAATAAAAAATTCATAAGATATCATCTACTTTGTTATCTTGTATCAGTTCTATACAAGCTGAAAGTAGAGGTACCAGAAAAATGCGTAGACGTTTCGAACACGTTTGAGTAAAAAGGACTTAAATCCAAAACTTTATTAACCAACATTATCAATCTACGTGACAGCAGAAAAGATTTGACTTTCTTTTAAAACACTTAGCGAAACAAATATGGTTAAACTACTACATAATACAAGGTCAATCGAGTGATGTTACTATTGATGCATACAATAATCTCTGGTGTAAGTACCAGAAATAGAACATCGTCATATTACAAAAGACCACAACTCTCAACAGACAGCACAGTAGAAAGACTCCGGTGGTTCTAAAATGGTTGGCCGCCACATGACCCCAAAAAGCTACTAAACACAGGAGGGTAGGTATATATGCACGTATTTAATGGTTCGTAACTGGCGACGAGGTATACCGTGCCGGTCTTTATCCGATATTATAATATCTTGGCTGGATCACACGTGGTAAACAGCAAAGCCTATTTTGGGATATTTTTAGACTTATAAACTACCGTCACAGCAGCCCTCTAGCTGACATGTCGTAAATCATTCATAGTTGAATATCGAAACCTCACTACGAACTTACTTGTATTACCACATGAGTGGTAATTGGATTTCTGATAGCCGCTGGATCCAAAGTTTCTACAGGTATCTCTGGTAACACTAGAGTAGGATCAACATAACCAGGTTCAGGTGCAATGGATAAGCACTCATGTGGAATTTGATCGCTTACGAATTGATCAGCCACTAACCATTGAGTGGGCGACACTCGGGCAGAACAAGCCACTCGAGTTATATTGCTGCTTTTCGTTGATTTTTTTTTGGATTTCTTGAATGAAAATTGTCGACAGAAATTGTTTGCCAATGACGGAGAGATCCGAGACCGGTCCGAATCCGGCTCGAACATACTTTGGGCGGTCTGTAAAAATAAAGTTGTTAAACTCAAGACTTTATAAGATGTAAGAAAAATATTAAATTACATAATTTACAATCAAAGTTTAATAACAACAAAGAATATATATAATAATAGAGCTATTGACCATAATGTGTTAGTTATAACTATTCCTTAGTAACTTTTTGGAATTTAACTGTTTAATAAAACATAATAAAGATACTCTCATTTTGTTTTTTTTTTTTAATAAATATTGATAAGTAAAATCTAGTTTTGCTATATTTGAAAAATATTTTTTAAGTCTTGATAGTTCTTTCGAGAACACTTTAGTATTAAATTTGGATAAAGCAAACTATCAATTTATGTTATAAAATCTAAGCAGTAATACGTATAATAAATTAGAAATTGTAAGTAATGTAAATCTTGATGGATCAATTAACTGACAGACTAATAATCCATAGTAAAAAAACGAAAGCTTTGTTTGAAAAAAAAAAGACAATTAACATTGAAATTGAAATATTATGTTATTATGTATTACATTATAATATTATGAGAAATAATATTTTTATTTTTAACCAAAGAATGTTGTCATGGAAAGTACTTTACTGATTTAATGAAATATGACTGAATATTCCTTACAACTAATTTATTAGACTCATTAAAAAATTTTTTTTTTCATATAAAAGCCTCAGGAGTTAGAGGTTAACACCCTGAAATATATGTAATATACTTTCCAGTGTATATTAAATACAGGTCTACATTAACTATAGAGATCATATTAATGAGTTAATAAATGAATAAATTAAATTCTCGTTTAAATAGTTTTTATTATAATAACGCTTTGTGTCATACATTTAGGATACTATTTATAACTATAAATAATAGTTATAATAATTGTCACAGTTTCGAAGTAATCCAGTTAAAGTTTATCTGAATCGTTAACTGTGTAAAAAGAATATGATAATTTTTATTTTTGTATTAAGTAAATACATAAATTACAATAAATAAGACCATGCGAATATCTTGGTTATCTAGTAAAAACGCTTAAAGAGTAACATTTTTAAGATATTTAACAATATATCATAGTAATATATATCATGATGTCTTTAGAAGGTTTTTATTAGTAAGTACGTAATTGATAGACAATACTTAAAAGAAAAACAGAAATCATTATTCGCTTAATATTATATTTAAATAATTATGATGTTGTTACTATGTAATAATAATACGTGAAAATAAAATGTATCGGTGGCGTTATTCGAAATTTTTTATCATTATAATACAATCATATATTCTAGCGTTTTATCTACACAAAGCAAGCACAAGTACATTTCAAGTGGTTAACAGTCTAACATATTTTCCTCATGTCGAAAAGCCACTGATATACACTTATCCAAGGGGTCCATTCAGAGAAATAATTTTAATGTCGGACATATTAACAGTTACGTGCACTGTGCAGGGATACCCTCTATCATTATTATTATTACTATTACTTTGTACTCGACTAGTCGCCGATGTAACGTTATTTTTACTCCAAAACTCATACACAAAAAAGTCCATGTGAATGCACGTAACATGCAGGTCTATACAGAATGATTGTTAACAATGACTCACGCAATATCTTTAAAAATATAATATTATTTTTTCTTTGCGGAAGTTTATAATATCCTACGTTTTATAATTTCCAAAAAACAAAAAAAATGCTCCTATCTCTCATTTTTTACCTTTAAAATTTTATTAACTTTAATTATTTAAATTGAAACAGATGTTTTACAAAAAAAATTCTAATATAATTTAAATTATAATTATGATATTTAAATTAATATTGTGTTTTATGTTTTTAAAGACATTGTGGGAATCGAATTTAAACTCTTATTCTGTATAGGACACCAAAAACTCTAGAAACAAAAATGAACTGACATCAATAAAGACAGAAATAATATGTGGACATATATTTTAACTATGGACAGATCTTAATTTAAGATTCTATAACAACAAAATAAATTAAACAATAATTTAAAAAATTTTTTGTCATCATTATTGTTTCTTAAAACAACTTGTTTAAAATATATAAATGTTACATTGACAAATAACATCTTTCAAATTACTGTTAAATTTTTGAACATATCGTTATCAATTAATTGAGGAAATTTAACATAACTTGATACAAGATTAATTATTCATCAAGGCTGTAGGATGAAATGAGATGATTGTAAATGTATTTTTTAGATAAATGCACAAGATTTTATTTTGAACTTCCATTGAATATGATAGCAATAAATACTAGGCTGGTCCTAGTATTTATTGAAAAGTTCTGGTAACTTTTCAATATAAAAAAAAATCAGCTAAATATCCTAAGAGAAAATATGAATTTAGATTTATCTTATTTTATTACAATTACCTCACTTCATCCCATATGAATATTATTAACAAAAACTAAGCACTTCAATTTTAAGTATTTTGCTCAAAAAGATTTCTAGTTTGATATTTAATAGTATTAGCCTTTTTTTTACGTTTTTAGGCAATAATGAAAAAAATATATATATAATTTAATAAAATTTTATTTTAATAAATAGTTAAAAATTAACATGAAGAAATTTTAAAAGAAAATCATCTTAATAGACAAATAATAAACGCCAAATTATAGTTCGCTATTTATTATTTTAGACATATTATAATTAATACACTAATTATCACGCGTCCAAATTTTTATTATTAATAAATGTAAAGATAACAATACAACCTTAATTGATAATATTGATTAACAGTAGTGTTATCAAATAAAATGGACTATGAAAAATCATTTTAAAAGACAACAACGGTTTAATATAGTTAAAAACGCGGGACTGGTACGAGTAACATTTCGTAGGGGAATTATTTGAAAAACGATCTACTGTCACGATATTCTTGATTATGTGCAGTGGACCAATGAATGCGGGGTGAAATAACAGCAAACAGACTTAGTAATAACAACTTGGAGAACACACGAAAGTTTATGTAAGCCCATTGAAAAAAAATGAGATTTATTACTATGAAAAAAAACAGTAACAATTAAATTTATTATCGAATTTAAATACAAGTAAACAGCAATAAACAAAAATGTAATATTATCTCCTTGAAAAGTGAAATGCATTATTTCGTGAGAGTTTTATAGCTAACGCTTCTAATGTCAGATTTTCTTACCAGAGATAACAAATGAGACGACAAATACAATGAATACTAATGCTCATTACATAAGAACAAGTTAGTGTGTATTTAAACCACTGGAATTCGTAACAAATTCTTCATGAGTGGATAAGCTTTTTTGAATAAGGACGGCAATTCATAGATTCGAATAAAATTATCATAAAATTCTAGTCGTGAAGAGGTAAAGAATTCACAAAGACATTTACAATACAAAAATAGGCGAGGAACTCTAACTTAGGTAATTATACAATTAAAATAAGGACAGAACCAATGCCGCAAATATCATATATGCGATACAGACAGAATAGGGGCCTTACTAACATAGGATATTAGCGTTGATTAAAAGCGATTTTTAAAAAAAAATATTTTAATTTAAAAATTTAAATATATTTTAATATAATTAAATACAATTATGTAACTAGTGTAATGAATGAGTTCTCATCGACTCATTATTTATAGTGGTAGTGTTCAATTATACATTTTATTTTATTTCATTCGTAAAATAAACGTCATATTATTGACAGAAACTAAACGTCAGTCACATCACCGAAAAATCTAAAAAATATATTTCCGTGACTCTATCAAGACAGTTTTTTAATCCGACATAAACATGCTATGTACAGTTGATATTATGCCATTTATATCAATTGGAATTATTCGGTACTTTTTAAATTTAACGCACACGCAAAACGCTCAAATCAAATACTAATGGCCCCATCTTATAAGAGTAATCCAAGGTTAATAAATTTAAAGAATTCAATAAAAGTTGATAAGGGTAACATAATTTTGGTCACGTAATTACGGTGGAAAACTTGAGAAGAGATGCGTTTATAAATAAACTGAAGACGTTAGGATTAGTTCCTAGTATTGGTCAAAATCGTAGAAAAAAACGGAGACATAACATTTGTCGTAGAAAAAAAATTGTTCTAGACAAATTCAAAACTGACAAAAAATTAACATGAATCAAAATAGACACACGATTTTTTTGTACATTGAAAGGTACAAAAATTAAGACACAAAATTCATAAATTGTTTACGTTGTTACAACATATATTAGTCATAACACACATTGAAAAATTACGTAATTTTCTTCTTTTACAATAAGAATATTCATAATAATAATAATTAGTTGAATTAACATACTTTAACAAATCCTGTTTAATAGGCAATTCATCTCAAGTAATCAAATTTTAATAGAACATAATAATATAAATTACTATAAATTGACTTATCATGCAAAACATAAAACTATTTGTTGTGAACTATTAAAATCAATAGGAATTCTAAAGCTTGTTTCTTTAAATATGGTAGAATTTCTTTAAATTTTTTTACAAAAACACTGTTATTTATTGTTTTTAGTAAGAAAAATCAGTGTATACGTTTAAATATTATGGAATATTGAATAACAATTGTTTTGGTGACGGAAGTGAGCATCTTATTTCCGGGGTTGGGCCTATAGCGAACAGGAAATGGAACAGTACTGTGGTGTACAGCGAATATTTTAAGTGTTTTGCGTGAGAAACACACATGATCGACTTACACGTGCATATATATACATTTACATAAATCACCAACATGTCAAGTAGATTGGTGTCACCCGGTAGGTCGCAAGAACACACGAATCACTTTCACACTTATACAAACTGCATAATAACAAATGGCGATAAATACGCGTTTTTTACATAGACATCAAGGTCGGTAGCAATCGATGATAACATTATTGATAAGACACATCAAGAAAGACCAACTGACGCCGTGGTAATAGCAGTTCTAATCATTATTGGGTCACGTTCTCGTTTAAACAATTTAAAATAATATAGCTAAGTTTTCCATTGCGCTGA